TGTCGTGCACATTGACTTGTGCGGGCCATTTCGGGTGGCTGCCAAGGATGGCAGCTTGTACTTCCTGCTGCTGAAGGATCGCCACACTCGTTTCGTGTGGGCAATGCCGGTCGCTAAGAAGAGCGACGTGCTGCGGGAGTTCGAGAAGTGGCTGCTGGTGGAGCGCCAAACGAAGAAGTCGGTGCTGTCGCTCCGCTCTGACCGGGGAGGGGAGTTCCTCGGAAAAGATTTCGCCACCTTCGTCGACGGGAAGGGCATCGTCCACGACCTGACGTGCCCCTACACTCCGCAGCAGAACGGCATGGCTGAGCGGGAGATGCGCACGGTCGTAGAGTCTGTGCGCACGATGTTGCTGCACATGGGCGTGCAGCACCACTGGTGGCACCTCGCTCTACGGCAGGCCGTCTGGGTGCGCAACTGCTTGGAGCGGTCGACGGCGCCATCGGGAACGACACCGTACCAACTGCTTGTCAGAATCCCAGCCACTAACCACTGGGATAAAAGGGCTTGTTTGTATGGCGGGTAAGTGCGCCCATAACCCCCCAGGCCGATGTGCCTGTAACCCTTCCCTAGGATCATCGGGGATCTCCAGTGGACCTCTGACACCCCCCCGCACTGGGATGCCCGAGGTGCACACACCGGGATTCGAACTCGAGACCTTCGCTCTGATACCATGTCAGAATCCCAGCCACTAACCACTGGGATAGAAGGGCTTGTTTGTATGGCGGGTAAGTGCGCCCATAACCCCCCAGGCCGATGTGCCTGTAACCCTTCCCTAGGATCATCGGGGATCTCCAGTGGACCTCTGACACTGCTGACCGGAAAGAAGCCCGACCTTACGCTGGCACGGGTGTGGGGTTGTATGGTGCAGTTCATGGTTCCCGAGCAGCAGCGCGGTGGGAAGCTGGCGCCGAAGGCTCGCTGGGGGCTTCACCTGGGTGTGTCGCCGGAGAGCAAGGGCTGGGAGGTACTTGACCTAACCGACAACAAGGTGGTCACGTCGGTCGAGGTGATCTTCTACGAGACGCTGTCGCTGGAGGTGTGGAAGGCGAAGTATGGGCCGGCGTCGGGGCGGACGCAGGCGCACCCGCCGACGGACGCTTCGACAGCGGCGGTCTCCCTGCTTGCCGAAGTCAACGAGCCTGCTGACGAAGATGTTGTGGAGGTTCTTCAGCCTCCCCCTGTTCTTGCTCCTCCCTCCCCCGTCGCAGATCGGTCTGCGTCGACGCCTGTGTCGGCCATCGGCGATGAGGGGAGCCTGGCGGGGTCGCCAGTGGCGCCGGCCAGTGGCATCGCCAGCGGTCGACAAGGCGCCAAGCCCATCGACCAGGATGGAAAGCTGTCGACGACAGGGGAGTACCAGACAGGGGAGCCGCTCGAACAGGAGGCAACAGCAGTGGTGAGCTCGACAGGGGAGCAGCGGTCGACCAGGGAGCTGTCGAAGTCAGCAGCCGGCGAGCAGCCGGTCCACAGGTCGAAGCAGCTGGTCGACGAGGCAAACGTCGACGAGAAAGGGGAGCTGTCGGCGGGAGAAGAGTCCACCGACAGTGATGTGGTGGAGGTTCCGGTCGAGAAGTCCGCGCCGGAGTTGCGACGCTCTGGTCGAGCCCGACGGCTGCCGGATCGGTTGAGCTTCCACGCCTGCCTGCCACCAGCTGCCTTCACCACGGTGTACGACGAGGTCGACGACGACCTGTTGTACGACGACGCCGAGGAGGATGAAGAGCTGCCAGAGCTCGAACCCCACGTGCATGCCGACCCTGAACATCGCTGGGACATCGCCACGATGACTGTGAAGGAGGCGCTGGCGAGCTGGAAGGGCGAGGCGGTGAAAGCTGCCATGGACGAAGAGATCCGTAGCTTGATCAGCAACGGCACATGGGAGCTGGTCGAACGCCCACGCGGGGTGAACATTATGAAGAACCGGTGGGTGCTGACGACCAAGTACCGCATCGACGACACCGTCGAGCGCGAGAAGGCGAGGCTGGTCGTGAAGGGCTTCACGCAGGTGTACGGCGCCGACTACGACGAGACGTACTCACCGGTGAGCAGCTACGTCACGCTGAGGATTTTCCTCAGCATCGTCGCCATCCTCGACCTCAACCTGATGCAGCTTGACATGAAGAACGCTTTCCTGCAGAGCAAGCTCGACAGGGTGCTCTACATGTACCAGCCGGACTACTTCGACGATGGGACCGGCCGGGTGTGTAAGCTGCTGAAGAGCCTCTACGGGCTGAAGCAGTCGCCGCTGCTGTGGTACAGAGCTCTCGACGGAGTGCTGCTGGGAGCTGGCTGGAAGAAGAGCCAGGTCGACGAGGCGCTCTACTTCAAGTCCGGCGACGACGGAGTGACCTGCTGGGTGCTGGTCTACGTCGACGACTTGCTCGCCGCCAGCAGCAGCACCTTGATGCTGAAGGAGCTGAAGGAGCTGCTAGAGGCCGCCTTCGAGCTGCGGGAGATCTCGCCGGTGGTGAAGTACCTTGGGCTGGAGATCGTCCGCGACAGGCCGGCGAGGAAGCTGTGGCTGCACCAACAGAACTACGCCGACAAGCTGCGCAGGCGCTTCATCGACGAGGAGCAGGGCGGTCGAATCCCGAAGACGCCGGTCTCGGTCGACGCCTACGCCGAGCTGACATTCGACGACGAGGAGGCGCAGGAGCGCGAGGAGGAGGAATACCGGCAGAAGGTTGGCTCGCTGCAGTTCGCAGCGACGACGACGAGGCCGGACATCGCGTTCGCCTGCAGCAAGCTGGGGAGCGGCCTTACGGTGAGGAGCGACCAGCACTGGTGCGAGGTCGACCGCTGCCTCGCCTACCTCGCTGACACCCGCGACACCGCCCTGGAGTTCGGTCGTGGATCAGAGTCGCTGGAGCTGATCGGCTACGTGGATGCCGACGACGCGGGCGACAAGCAGAACCGGACGAGCATGGGCGGCTACGTGTTCGTCTACGGAGGGGTCGCAGTCTCCTGGTCGAGCTCGCGCATCAAGTGCGCGACGCTCTCCTCGACCGAGTCGGAGTACGTCGCGGCCACGGATGCTGGCAAGGAGGGACGCCGACTTCGTTTCCTTCTGGCGGAATTCAAGCTGCTCGACGCTGGGAAGCCGACCATCCTCCGCGTCGACAACAAGTCGGCAATCACGGTCGCTGAGGGCTTGGGGCTGACGGGCAACCTCAAGCACATGGAGCGACGCTATGCCTGGCTGCAGCACATGGTGAGGCGCGGGAAGTTCGTGCTGAAGTACATCCCGACCACCGAGCAGCCGACGGACTTCCTTACGAAGGCGCTGCATTCTCCGGCTTTCAACTGGTGCTCTGTTGCCATCGGCCAAGTTCGTCTGGCCGACGTCGGCGACGGCGACGATGAGGTGCAGCAGTAGGTGCCGTGCCCTTCTGCACGGCTGGTGCGGTGACGGCGTGCTGTGTGTGGGGTGCACGCCGAGGACGAGTTTTCTCCGTGGAGTACTGCCGTGTGGGCTGGAGGCCCAAGCGTGAGCGCGGCAGGGGAGTGTTAACGGGAATGGAGTGTTGGCCCCGCCCTCGCTTGGGCAACGCCGACGCTTTGGTCGGATGTACGGGAGTAGCAGCCGACCGTTCACAGTGGGAGAGCTGCTCGACAGGCTTCGTCGAGCTGCAGGGGACCGCTGTGGTGTTGCTGTCGACCAGGGAGCTCGACAGCTGCATCTGATTGGCCTGGGCGACGGGTGGGCTGTCCGGGAGGTCGACGGAGCAGTCCGTCGACCTGCAGTTCGACCGAAAGGTCGATGGAACAATCCGTCGACCTACAGTTCGACGGGGAGGTCTAGGGAGCATCCCGTCGACCTGCAGCTCGACCGGGAGGTCTCCGGTGCATCCCGTCGACCTGACAGGTGAGCAGCGGTCGATGAGGGGAGCTCGGCGACAACTGCTAACGGTTCGGGTCGACGGAAGGGGTCCGTCGACCAGGGGATTGTCAAACATTATATGTTGTAGCTTTGTAGGCTACAGTGGGTTTAGTCTTAGGGGGTACACAATTCTAGGGTTTCATATTTGTACTCCCATTCTTGCTAGTCACACCATTCCTCGTTTCTTCACTTGGTTTCAAAGCAGGTTCCCTAGTGGGAACGCTTCCTAGGGCCCACCACGAACTTTTTTTTCCTGCCCGGAGCGCGCTTTGCTCCTGCCCGAGTCGCGCCCCGTGTGCCCTCCCTACCGTCGCGCCCTCTCTCGGCCCCTCACGGCCCCTTCGCGTCGCCCTTAGCGGCCCCTCTCACGGCCCCTCGTACCGCCCTTCCGGCCCCTCGTGCCGCCCTTACGGCCCCTTGCGCCGCCCTTACGGCCCCTCGCGCCGCCCTTACGGCCCCTCGCGCCGCTCGTACGGCCCCTCGCGTCGCCCTTCGCAGCCCCTTACGGCCCCTTGCACCGCCCTTACGGCCTCTCGTGCGGCCCCTTACGGCCCCTCGCGCCGCCCTTCGCGGCCCCTCGCGGCCTCCTCACGGCCCGTCGCCGCCCTCCGCGGCCCCTCGCGCCGCCCTTCACGGCCCGTCGCCGCCCTCCGCGGCCCCTCGCGCCGCCCTTCACGGCCCGTCGCCGCCCTCCGCGGCCCCCTCTGCCGCCTTTCGCGGCCCGCCGTCGCCGTCCCCGCAGCAGCAGCCGCAGCCGTCCCTGCAGCAGCAGCCGCCGCCGTCCCTGCAGCAGCAGCCGCCGCCGTCCCTGCAGCAGCAGCACCCGCCGTCCCTGCCGCGGAAGCCGCAGCTGCAGCAGCCGTTACCAGCAGCAGCCGCCGCCGCCTCCTTCGGGACTGCAGCCGCCGCCGCCGCTGACTGAAGCCACCGGTGCGCCTCGGCCCTACCGACGCGCCTCGGCCCTACCGACGCGCCTCGGCCCTACCTGCGCGCCTCGGCTCGTCCCTGCCGGTGCGCCTCGGCCCTGCCCCACCACTTGCGGCTCTCTGCCCTGGTAAGAGTGTCGCCGCACTGCGCTGTCACTACTGCCACTGCTGCTACTGCTGCCACTGCTGTCATGGCTACCCCTAGCGTCCTTGTCTTTGATGCTGAGGGTCGGGCTGTTGACTTTGAGGTCTGGCTCGATGATCTGCAGCTTTTCCTACAGTGCGATAGGGCAGACGGTCTCTCCCTCTTTGACCTCACTTCTGGTGCCTCTCCTTCCCCTGCTGCTGATGCTGACGCCACTGTTCGCTCACAGTGGGCCACGCGCGATGCTGCTGCCCGCCTTGCTGTGCGCCGCCACTTGCCGACCGCTGAGCGTGCGCACTTTAGTCAGTACAAGAGTGCTAAGACCTTGTACGACGCTGTAGTTGCACGCTACTCTTCCCCTGCCACTGCTGCGCTTAGCCGCCTCATACTGCCGTACCTCTTCCCTGACCTCGCCGCTTTTCCCACTGTCGCTGACCTCATTACGCACCTTCGCACTAGTGACATTCGCTACCGCGCTGCGCTTCCTGCTGAGTTCTGCGCCAAGAACCCCCCCCCCCCCCCCCCATGTACTTCACCCTCTACTACATAGTCACCGGGCTCCCTGACACCCTTCGCTCGGTCAGGGACCACTTTCTCTCTGTTTGCCCCACCACTCTCACCGTTGACCTCCTCGAGGAGCGTCTCCTAGCAGCAGAGAAGAGCATAGTTGCTGTAGGAGCCTCTCGTGGTGACCCTCGTACCCCTGTCTTTGAGGGGTGCTCCCCCTCCCCCCTCTTGCCCTCTGTTGCCTCTGCTGCTGCGGCCGACCTCGTTGGTCTTGAGTCGGTCGCTGCGGCGTCTACCTCTAGCGGGAGACGCCGCCCAGGCAAGGGCAAGGGGGGCAAGGGCGCTGGGGGAGCTGGCGGAGGCGGTGGAGGCGGCAGTGGAGGAGGCGGAGGGAGTGGGGGTGGCGGTGGGAGTGGTGGTGGGAGTGGGGGCACTAGTGGAGGCAGTGGCGGCGGAGGAGGAGGCGGTGGTGGAGGTAGCGGCGGCGGAGGTGGAGCGGGTCGGGGCGGCTCTACGCAGAGGGTCGGCTCCGGTGGTGGTACGCGCCAGCAGCAGCAGCAGCAGCAGCGTACTCGTGAGACCCCTTCCCCCCAGCAGCTTCGTGAGTGGTACACTGCTCGTCAGCGGGGCGGGGGTGCTGGCCCCTGTACCTACGTTCTCCGTACCGGCGACCGCGCGGGTGAGCAGTGTGGGGGAGCGCACTCCACCCAGCGCTGCTTCGGCCGTCTGACGGACGCGTGGCGTCACCAGTTCCCTGACGCTACTGAGATCCCTCGCTGGGGCGAGCTGTCTAGGGCGGGTGTTGCGATCTTTGATCTTGATTATGATGCTATTCTTGCTGCCATGTATGCTGTGACTATTAGTGATGAGGGTGACTGTTACCGGTGTTTTCCGCCTGACCCGGGCATTGAGGCTGCTGCGCTAGGTGCTTGTGAGACTGCTGCTCTAGGTGCCAGTGCGTCTGCCGCCCCAGGTGCCGGTGAGTCTGCGCTCTCAGGTACTGCGTCGTCTCCGGACACCCACACCTTCACCCTTGACTCGGGTGCTTCCCGCTCCTTCTTTCGAGACTGCACCACTCTCACGCCACTCAGTCGGCCGGTTGCGGTCTCCCTGGCAGACCCCTCTGGGGGTCCTGTTCTTGCCCACTACTCCACTGTACTCCCGTGTCCAGCGGTCCCGTCTGGCTCCCTGTCGGGTCTTTACCTCCCCTTGTTCTCTACGAACTTGGTGGCGGGTGCTGACCTACAGGATGGGGGGGTTGACCAGTTCACCCCTGCGCGTCAGCGGGTGACCCACTGCACGTGTGCGGACACGGGCCGACACTTGGCCACGTTTACCCGTCAGCCGGGGTCGAGCCTGTACACACTGACTACTGAGTCTCCTCCAGTCACTGAGTCTGCTCAGGTAGCAGCGTCGGGTCAGGTGTTTGCTGCAGCGTCCAGGTCTGGTCCTGAGTCTGCCCCCTGCTCGTGTCGTCTCCTGTCCCACCGGACTCTCCTCTGGCACCACCGCCTTGGTCACCCCTCCCTGCCTCGTCTTCGAGGCATGGCTTCCCGTCTTCTTGTCTCTGGCCTCCCCCGGTCCCTCCCTCCCCTTCCTCCGGGGCCTGCCCCCACCTGCGTTCCCTGCGTCGAGGGGCGGCAGCGCGCTGCTCCTCACTCCTCCGAGTTTCCTCCGACAGAGGCTCCGCTGCAGACGCTTCACATGGACGTGTGGGGCCCAGCCCGCGTCCGTGGGCAGGGTCACGAGCGTTACTTCCTGCTGGTGGTTGACGACTACTCGCGTTACACCACAGTCTTCCCCTTGCGCAGCAAGGGTGACGTCACTGAGGTGTTGATCGCCTGGATCCGCGCAGCTCGTCTCCAGCTCCGGGAGAGTTTCGGCTCGGACTTTCTTGTTGTGCGTCTGCACTCCGACAGAGGCGGAGAGTTCTCCTCTGACCTTCTGCGGGCCTTCTGTCGTGCACGAGGCATCCGCCAGACCTTCACGCTTCCGGACTCTCCACAGCAAAATGGGATTGCTGAGCGCCGCATTGGCATGATCATGGACGTCGCTCGTACGTCCATGGTCCATGCGGCTGCCCCCCATTTTCTGTGGCCGTTTGCGGTTCGGTACGCGGCGCATCAGATCAACCTTCACCCCCGGGTCTCCATGCCGGAGACCTCCCCTGCTTTACTGTGGACGGGGAAGGCTGGCGATGCGTCTGCGTTCCGTGTCTGGGGATCTCGGGCGTTTGTCCGCGACTTGTCTGCGGACAAGCTGTCCTCTCGTGCTGTTCCCTGCGTCTTCCTTGGCTTCCCTCCTGACGCGCCAGGCTGGCAGTTCTACCACCCCACCTCGCGCCGTGTTCTGTCCTCTCAGGACGTCACCTTTGACGAGTTGGTTCCCTACTACCGTCTCTTCCCCTACCGCACTGCGTCCCTCCCTCCCCCGCCGCTCTTCCTTACGCCAGGTCCCCCTCCGGTAGACCCCCTCCCCCCTCAGGGTCCTGCCCCCTCAGGTGTGTCCCAGGTAGATGCGGTCGAGCCTGTCGAGGTAGCTGTTGACTCTGGTGCTGCTAGGGGTGCTGAGCCTGGGGGTGCTGGGTCTGGGGGTGCTGCGACTGGGGGTGCTGAGCTTGGGGGTGCTGAGCCTGGGGGTGCTGCGCCTGGGGGTGCTGCGCCTGGGGGTGCTGCGCCTGGGGGTGCTGAGCCTGGGGGTGCTGCGCCTGGGGGTGCTGAGCCTGGGGGTGCTGTGTCTCGGAGTGCGGAGCCTGAGGGTGCTGGGCCTGCTCGTGTGGCGTCTGGTGGTGCTGGGCCTGGAGGTTCTTCTAGTGCTTCGTCCCGGCGGGAGCTCCTCTCTCCACAGGAGCTGCGTGAGTGGTTTGCCCGGCGCTGGAGGCGTGCTGCTGGAGCTGGCGGTGCTACGGACGCTAGCGGTTCTGCTGCTGCTGAGGGTGCTGGTGCAGCGGGTCCCGGAGGTGCTCGTACAGGGTGTACTGGAGCTGCTGGGCCTACGGGTGCTCCTGGTGCTGGAGCTGGTGGTGCTACTGGTGCTACTGGCGCTGGTGCTGCTGAGGGTGCTGGAGTTGGCGCTGCTGGAGCTGGGGGTACTCCTGGTGCTGGTGCTCCCGTTGGGGGTGCTGGTGCTGTTCCTGCTGGCACTGGTGGCGCTGCGCGGCCACGGCCGTACTTCGTTCCGCTCCTTGAGCAGGTTCTTGGTCTTCCGTCCTCTCTTGGTCCTGCTCCTCCCTTAGCGTGTCCGCCTCCTGTCCAGTCTGAGTCACAGTTACAGCCAGCCTCCCCGCTTCCTTCTCCTTCTCCCTACACTGGTCCTACTGGAGGTCTTGCTGAGCGTCGTGAGCCTGCGTCTCGCCCTGCGTCGCCTGTCCGTGCTGCTCGCACTAGTGGTCGTGGTTCGCGTCAGCGTCCTCCCCCTGTCCCCGGCACGCACCGGATGTCTCTGCGTCCTTCCACTGCTCCGCTGCGTGCCCCTTTGCCTTCTCCTCCCGAGTCCTCTCTTCCTGCGCTCCCTGTCCCGGAGTCGGACTCCCTTCGTGCTGCGCGTCCTACTGTCACGCGTCTCCTTGCCACTGTTGTCACTGACCCTTCCTTTGAGTCTACTGCTGCGTCTGCCCTGGTTGCTGAGCTTGTTGACTTCGCTGCTCGCTGTCGCCTAGACTACGCTGCCAGTCTCGTCGCTGAGTCTGAGTCTGTCTGTCCTCCGTCCGTCGGGGGTGAGTGTGCTCTTGGCACGGACGTCCTTGAGGACAGGCAGGAGGAGTTCCAGTGCTTGGCTGCTGCTTCACCTCATCTCGTGTCCATGCTGCTTGCCCCTGAGGGAGACCCGGATGCACTTGACATCCCGACTCCGCGCTCTTACGCGGAGGCGATAGAGGGTCCCTACTCCTCTCAGTGGCAGGCAGCCATGGACGCAGAGATGGCTTCCTGGAAGTCCACACGCACCTACGTTGACGAGGTTCCCCCGCCTGGGGCGAACATCGTCAGTGGCATGTGTTTTTTCAGGGTGAAGCGGCCGCCGGGTTCTCCGCCTGTCTTCAAGGCGCGTTACGTGGCTCGTGGCTTCAGTCAGCGGCAGGGAGTTGACTACTTTCAGACCTTCTCTCCCACCCCGAAGATGACCACTCTTCGGGTACTGCTGCACATAGCCGCTCACCGAGACTACGAGCTGCACTCTCTTGACTTCAGCACTGCTTTCTTGCAGGGCAGCCTGCACGAGGAGATCTGGCTGCGCCGCCCACCTGGCTTCACTGGGACTTTTCCTCCTGCAAGCCTGCATGGCATTACAGGTAGATTCACGGATTTTTATGCGTAACCAGCGGCAGCTGTATGAATGAGAATTGTATTGAGAAAGAGAAGTTTGGCTGTCATCATGCTCTTGGTAAGTGTAACTATATCGCATCTACCCATAATTATTTTCCATAGATTACGGTAGCTCAGAAGCCTAATGCTTGCAATGGATCATCGACTTGCGGATCCGTACGCGTTTGCACATTCTGTTCCTTGCAGTTGCAACATTCACGTGATGGGCCAAGTGGGCTTTCACGAATGAAACAATTTGTCTCGTTGAAAGGCGAGCGTTCGCACAGGTGGAGAGGACTCAGCGGGAACTGCAGCAAACTCAGCATTCAGCGCATTCAGCGCGCATGCGCATTATTGCAGAGCATTCAGCGCGCGCCGCGAGGCCATTCTCCGCTCAGCTGCCCACGCGAACACCGATCTCACCGGGTCCCTGACTGCCCGCTGCTGCTGCTGGCTCTGTTTGAATCCATTCGAAAAAACGACGGGACTTTGGGCTTCAGACGACATATCTGTGGGGACAACCGAGCGAGGTGAGATCGCGCGGTACTCGGCCGGATGCGCCGTGCGCACATCGCGCCCCGCGTGAGAGTAGCTAGCCGCCTGCGTCGGCGATACGCGTGCGTTTACTGACGCCGAACTCCATGGTCGCCGGCTCTGCGCTGTCGCGGCTGACGCGGGCGGTGGGGATAGGCGTCCGCTTCCCACGGCTGCGTTCGCCGTTGTGTTCGTGGCGGCTGCGTTTCCTGCGGGGAGGAGAGCCGCCGCGCCGCCTGCACGAGCAGAGTCGGCCAAACTCACAGTCGGCGAAATCTGCTGCCTGCTGCCGCGGCACCCGCGACAGTCGCACTTGCTCGCGGAGTCCGCTGCCGGCGGTGATGACGGCGTTGCGCCTTCCGGCCGTCTGTAAATGACCGCTCCGCCGCGCCGCCAGAAAAGCGCATTCATGGCGTCGTTCCAGAGCGCGTCCGTGTCCTTTTCGCCCAGCGCATGCGCGCTGCGGGAGCGGCGGAGCGAGTGGCGGGACACTCGCTTCCGCGCCTCTGAAACGAGCGCATCCAGCGGTTGCAATAACTTTGCGCTTCCGCCATCAGAATCAGCTTCCCCCTGTCTTGCTAGTGCGGGCTCGCTTCCGCTGCGCTTAAGCCGCCGGTGCTGCGCTCCGATACTCTCGCGGCTGTAATCAGCCAGGGGCTTGCTCACGCGATTCCACGAATCGAGTCGCCGCTGGGCCGCGTCCAGCGACAGCCTGCGACTCCTTAGATCTCGAGACGCGTCGCGCGACGACCCAGACCCGTATGGGAAGGCAGAAGGGCTGCTCGTGTCGCGCGGGCTGTCGTTGGCGGCGGTGAGAGCGACGAGATGCTGCAGCTGATGCAGCGACAGACCGTGGCTTGCGCGCTCCGTTGACGGCGGCTCTTGTTCCGCGCTTTGGCGCCGCGCGCCGCAGGAAACGTCGTTAACAGCGGATGTGTTTTTTTCTGGTTGCGCGACGCGATCGCTCTTCGTCGATGGCGCCTCCGATTCAAGGCGAGGCGCTAAGCGCGAGGCGCCTCCCGAACGTCCGGCCGCGTTGCCGCGTGTGGGGGACGAGGAAGCGGAGTTTGCAGGTGACGAAGGCTGTGACAGTAATGCGAATTGCTGAGCCGTAGTGACAGCCATTGCGCGAAATGCAGCTGTCGTAGAGAGTGTATACTGAGGAAGTCGGTCAGCGGAAGACATTGTTGCTGCTTGTGACGGGGACTAGAACTGACTTTTACCTGACTAAGCTTCCGTGCCAATAATTTTTTCTAGTACTAGAAAACGCTTCACACGTGAGCAGTGGCGAGCACAAAAGATGACGTGGGGAGCGCGATGCTCGCTATTTGTGCTCTTTGCGGTTGGGTTGGGGGAGAATTGCCTCTCGGGCTGGCAGCATGACGGATTGGCTTCGCAAACGAGAATGTGAATGTGCGCCGCCTTGCGGATTGCGAACCAGAAATACCCAGAGGTACGGTGGTTCATTCTTCGTGTGAAAAGCTGGCGGGCGAGGTACATTTCTGATGTGGATTCGCGGAGAGCGGAGAATCACCTCACATATCTGCAGGGGAATGTTGGGGGGAAATGCGAGGGGAGGGAACGAGATGTCAGGAGCAGGCCTCTCGATGTGTTTTTGGGCACCCTGCCAGAAGCGAGTCGTGGCCGACCTTCACCCTGCCACTGCAGTGTGCCAATCGCGGCATACTCAGGAAATGGCAGGGTGTTTTGTATTTTCTTGTCGGAACTGGCAGGGTAGAAATCTCGCTAACACTGCTGAGCTCTGCAGACCCGCTCTGAGCAGGACTTCGTCAAATTACAGCCTGTTCCGTCACTGAGCGAGCTTAGCGTGTTAAAGGGACTTAACTAAGTTTCCAGCTTGTCCCAGCGACAAAGACAAAATTCTGGTGTGTTTCTGTGCCTTCGCCGAATTTCGGAAAGCTTGAGTGACTTCGCCGAATTTCCAGTATGTTTCAGACTTCGCTGAATGTCCAGTGTGCTCCAGTCACTTGGGCGAATTCTCTGAGTGCTTCAGTGACTTGGCCAATTTCCAGTGTTTCAGTGACTTCGCTGAATGTCGAGTGTGTTCTAGTGACTTGGGCGGATTTCCAGAGTGCTTCAGTGACAGCCAAATTTCCAGTGTGTTTCAAAGACTTGGCAGCATTTCCAGAGTTTCAGTGTCTTAGCCAAATTCTCTGACTTGAAATTGGAGAGCAGGAGAGTTCGACTCTCAAGGACTCCTTAGAAGGGTAAAAATGACTTGGACTCGGAAAAGGCAGGGCTGACAGGATGCTCTCACCTGGAATTGAAGGGTACGGTTTAACTCATGTCAAGGCGTGTCAGGGCGGTACAAGCGTCGAAGTCAATTTCAGCAGGGTGACCTTAAAAATTCACTCTGAAAAACAGGCTAATCAGGGTAAAATACCCTGACTTCCTGGCTCCTGACTCAGGAGGCTGTCTGTGTGAGCTGCTGGAACAAACTTTCAGCTCTACAGCTTAATTTTTCTTTTCTTTTGCAAGCTTTAGTCGCCAGTTCAACAGTTTGAATATCATGCAGAAGCAGCAAAACACTACTGCTCCCTTCGAACCACAAGCACATTTCCAGCTCGTGAGAACCTTGCTTCGCTAGATTCTCTGATGTAGAGTGGGTGGTTGGGGTGGGGCTTGGCACGCTGCCCTCAGATCGTGTCGACTGTTCATCCCCGCTGCGTAGCTCACAAGCACGTGGGAGATACAGAAACACAAACACAAACACCTATGTACACATGATGCCCAACCAGTGCACGCGAATTTGCCAAGCACCGGATGGAAACGCTGCACCCGATGTTTCCAACCCGGGCAAATGCACCCACGGTACAGACACGTGGATGGCAGGGTACTGTGCACGCGCTTCGAACGATTCTGCACGTGCAGTCCGAAACAAACCAGGCCGACCCTGGTTTTCTCAGTATTTAGGCCAGAAGACACACACCCGAAATGTGTGAACGAAACCCGCTTGGCTTCGTAAATGCATTCGCCAAACTTCCCTGCCAGGTAAGCGAGATTCATAGTGCATGTAACAGTCAGACTGGCAGGTTCACCTTGCCACGTGTAACCTGCACTTGTAGGGTACAAGAGCATTAGCAACCAAGCATTGTTCGCCCTGCCCACGTCAGGCGTCCTAATATGTGGTTACAAATCACAGTGCCCCCACCCTCAGACCAAATACACGAAACGAACCTGGCACAGAACACACCGCCATCCACTCGGAACAGGCCCCTAGCGAGCATCACTGGGCGAGTAACTCAACTTTAAAACAACGGCATTGACTTCACTTATGCATCAGTTTCTCACACCCCCGCCATTCAACATGCCTCGGTTCCACCGCCGTGAGCAGCTCCCTGTGCACATTAAGCGCGCCATTTGTCTCCACCATGTGGAGAATCCGCGCCTGCGTCACGTTGACCTGGCGCGGTGGTGCTACTCCCAGTATCGCCTTCGACCGGACCGCTCCACCATCGGCCGCATCCTGAAAAGCGCCGACCGCTGGGCTGTGGTCGAGACAGGCGACAACCCAATCCGCCGACGGGGAGGCGCATGGCCTCAGCTGGAGCAGGCCATGGCAAGGTGGATCTCGAACGCGGGGCCGGCCGGCGTCCCGTTGACGCTGCAAACCATCCGCGACCACGTCGCGACGATGGCTCGTAACATGGGCATTCCGCCCATGTTTCGATGCTCCATCGGATGAGTGCGTCGTGCGTTGCGGCGGCAGGGAGTGAGGTGCCGTGCATCTGTCGGCGAGGCGGCCAGCGCGGACCATGCCGCTGTGCGCGACTGCCAGGAGAAGCTCCCGCGGCTTCTCATGCATCTCTCCGCCCGTCCGCGTGACACGTACAACCTCGACGAAACCGCGCTATGGCTGTCCGTGCTCCCGCGGCGTTGTCAACGAGAACGGACTGGAATGATGAACTAGAAAGGACTGTGAGTACAAATATGAAACCCTAATGTTGTGACCCCCTATAGGCTAACCCACTACAGCCTACACAAATATAACATATACAATGTTTGACACACCCCCATAGGCAAAGTGGGGGAGACCTAGGGGTCACAAGACCAGTCAAGGCAAAGCAAGGCAACAACAAGCTCAGGGTGGATCTCAAGGATTCCACACAAATTCCGAGCACAAGCTAGTGGTCACAAGACCAGTTCACATGCAGGTTTATAACAGAGCAAGAGATACAGTGATCACAACCTAGCAAGAGTAAACATGCAGGTATAGATATATATAGTGATCACAGTACAAGCAAAGTCAAGAGGTAAGCAAGTGAGGTCCAGTAGGCACAAGGCCTAGTAGAGTGCAGAAGCGCTGATGGTCACGAGGCTGAAGCGCCTTGGTGAACACATCAGCAGTGTTGGCCTCAGTGGCCACGTAGCGAATACAAAGCTGACCGCGCTGCTGCAGCTCTCGAGCAAGGAAGTACCGCAGGGCGATGTGCTTCGTTCTGTGCTCCAGTCTGTGCTCCTCACACAAGGCAATGGCAGCCTTGTTGTCGACGTACAGTACTGGAGGAGAACGAGGCCGCTCTCCGAGGTCGGTCAGCAGGTAGGTCAGCCAGCGTAGCTCCTGGGCAGCCATGGCTGTAGCGTAGATCTCAGCCTCGCAACTGGAGCCGAGAACAGAAGAAGAGCGTGTAGAGCGCCAAGAAACTGAGCCAGAGCCAAGGCTGAAGGTGTAACCCTGAGACGACCGCTGAGTGGCCTGGTCGTCTGCCCAAGAAGCGTCTGAGTGCCCTGTGAGGACAACTCGGTCTCGCCCTCCAAGCACAAGCCCCATGCCCGACGTACTGCACAAGTAGCGCAACACCCTCTTAGCGGCATCCATGTGCTCCTTCCTGTGACGGCCAGGAGCGACATAGCGTGCAAGGATGCTAAGAGGGTATGCAAGGTCAGGTCGAGTGCAGGTCATCAGGTACATGAGGCAGCCCACAAGCTCTGGATACGGGCCACTCGGCTCTACGGACTCATCCGAAGGCAGAGCTGAGAGCGAGTGACCGGTAGGCAGAGGAGTGGACTGAGGCGAGGAGTACGTGAAGCGGAAGCGCTGGAGAACCTGCTGCACCATGTGTGACTGAGTCAGGGTGATGGTGCGCCGTGCTCTGTCCCGGGTGATCCGCAAGCCAAGATAGCTTGTCAGCTCACCCAGGTCTGTGCACGTGTGTCTCCTCTGCAGCTCCGACTTCACGTAGGCGAGTCCTGCAGTGTCAGCAGTGGCAAAGACCAAGTCGTCAACGTACACGAGGATGTAGAACGGCGGCAGCGAAGTGTCGGTGCGCAAGAACAGCGACGGGTCAGCTGTAGAAGGCGCGAACCCAAGAGCCGCAAGTGTAGTCCTCAGTGTGTCGTGCCACTCACGCGGAGCCTGGCGGAGACCGTAGACCGGCCGCTGAAGCCTCCACTGGGTACCAGGAGGAAACGACCCAATGAAGCCAGGTGGGCGGCGCAGCTAGATCTCCTCGTGCAGGCTGCCCTGCAAGAAAGCAGTGCTGAAGTCAAGTGAGTGAAGCTCGTAGTCGCGGTGAGCGGCTATGTGCAGCAGCACCCGAAGAGTAGTCATCTTCGGGGTGGGGGAGAAGGTCTGAAAGAAGTCAACTCCCTCTCGCTGACTGAAGCCTCGAGCCACGTAACGCGCCTTGAAGACAGGCGGAGAACCCGGCGGCCGCTTCACCCTGAAAATCCACATGCCACTGACGATGTTCGCCCCAGGAGGGGGAACCTCGTCGACGTAGGTGCGTGTGGACTTCCAGGAAGCCATCTCGGCGTCCATGGCTGTCTGCCACTGAGAGGAGTAGGGACCCGCCATCGCCTCAGCGTAAGTGCGCGGGGTCGGGATGTCTGGTGCATCCGGGTCTCCCTCAGGGGCAACTAGCAAGGACACGAGACGGGGCAAAGCAGCAGCAAGACACTGGAACTCCTCCTATCTGTCCTCAAGGACGTCCGTGCCAAGAGCACACTCACCCCCGACGGACGGAGGACAGACAGACTCAGACTCAGACTCAGCAACAAGGCTAGCAGCATAGTCTAGACGACAGGCAGCAGCAAAGTCAGCCAACTCAGCGACCAGAGCAGACGCAGCCGAGGACTCAAAGGTAGGGTCAGTGACAACAGTA